ATGGTAAATACACCAACCAGGGCATATACGTTTCTACACGTGAGATAATTGACACAGGAGAGAAATTTTATGGATGTAAGGAAAGTGGGGATTTTTTAACCCAGAGGTCACACCTCTCAGGTCATGTGGACTCAGTGGGGGAAAATCCTGTGAATATAGGGGAAATGCCTTCAAGAAGCTCTCATCTCTTTCTCACCATCTGACAACTCACAGTGGAGAAAAAGCCTATGAATGCGGTGAATGTAGGAAGATTTCACCTGGCGGAGATTTCACCTCGTTTTGCACCAGAGAATTCACACCAGTGAGAAACCTTACAATTGTAATAAATGTGGAAAATCTTTTAGCCCAAGTTCTTACCTTCTGTAGGTACATCAGAGAACTCATACTGGAGAGAAGCCCTCTAAAGGTGATGAACATGGAAAGTCCTTCAGTGGAAGGTCTAATCTTCGTGTGCACCAGAGATGCAACAAGCGTGGACGAGCCTTCAGCCACAGCACTCACCTTACAGTTCATGAGAGAACTGTACTGGAGAGAAGCCCTACAAACATGATGAAGGTGCAGACTCTTTCGGTTTTCATTTAGCCTTCACTCACATAAGAGAACACATGCTGGAAAGAAGCCGTGTAAATGTCAGCCATGTGGGAACGCTTTCCATCAAGGCTCTAACTTCACTGGGCACTGAAGAACTCATACAGGGTGCAGGGGGGCAACTGCATCTTTCATTTTAATTCAGAAAAGCTATACAAATACATGTAGATTTTGTCTTTTTCAGCCATTCCCAGAGAAGGGCTGAGCCTGGGAGGCATTTGATAGCTGAGGAAATTGCCAGTGAGAAATACTTAGTAAGATCAAAACTCCCCTCAATAATTCTAGGTAATGCAATCAACCAGTGTGGGAAAGGCTGTTGCGAGAAGTCACAGTAATTGATGACATTTGACTAAATGGCTGAATGTACTACTTCAAAGAGCCAGAGTGCTCTTATTTATTTACTTCTTTGTTCCTCCAATGCTAGAAAGCTAGGCTACTTCTAATTTGTTTCACGAAGCCACCCTGAACTGTAATTATGAGCACTGTGTAGAAATGTGGAAAACACCCATAATGCACTGAGAGGTGCAGAAACGTGGCTGTGTGACCCTGTGTGTGCACCTGGAAAGGGCTTAGAAGGAAACACAGAAGTGAACATAGCTAAGTTTTAATTATTTATATACATTATTACACTTTTTTGTTTCTTTTTCTTTTCTTTTCTTTTGGAACATAGCTAATTTAATAAGTCTTAGAATACTGTATGACTTTTTATGTTTCTCTAAAAATTGCTACAATTTTACAATAAATAAAAAGACAAAGAAGAGAAAGATGTAGATCCAATATCAGTCTGAGTCATTAGAAATGGGTGCACCGAAGTAGCAAAAGCAAGAAGTGGACAGTTAGTGGCCAACACACGAAATGAGAAAAAGAAAATATTTCTCGGGTATGCTCACGATATAGTCGGGCCTCATACCCTCTGGGTGGGCAACCCACAAGCTGAAGAACAATTAAGAAAATATTTCTAATCAAAGCAAAATCAAGGACATAATAAAGATAAAAGCAGAAAATACCTGGTAAAAAGTGACTCTGAGAAAAGCAAACTGTATAAATTCCAATCTAAGAAAAATAACACAGATTTGCAACTTTGGGAATGAAAAGGGAAATAAACAGAAAATTATATCAAAAAGTTTGTACACCTTTGTGTTAATACACTTGAATAACTTAGATGAAAAAGACAGTTTTCTAGGAAAACATAGTACTGACTGAGAAAAACACAGAAAACCTAATAAATATTTCAGCTTAAATTGAAAAAGTTCTCAGAGAATTACTCCACAAAATTTTAAACCCAAGCTGTTTTACCAGCAAATTATTTACTTGTTCAAGACAGAGAAAACTTTTGATAAACAACTGTCCCAGAACATGCAGAAAGCTAAATTTTACCTCTTTTGTGAGTTAACCAGTCACTCAAAGCTCAAACAAAGAAAAATTACAGGCCAATATCTCTCAGGAATATTAACGCAAAACTTCCAGCTCAGACATTACAGTGAGGACGCATGGATTTAGGAACAGTCCTTCCAGGAAACGGGGTTCTTTGTTTTGGGAAGTGTACAACTGTAGTGCTCCATTTTAATCAAGCAGTGGAGAAAAACAAGTCATCTCAATCATCAATGAAAAAATTGATAAAATTTAGTATTTATTATTTCAGGGGAAAAAAGTGTTTTTATAATATGGTGATATCAGGCTTAATGGCGACACTAGAGCCGAGATTGGCAGACTAGGGCCCACAGTCCAAATCTGGCCCATGTGTTTTTTAAATAAAATTTTATTAGAACATATCATGTACTCACTCGTTTCCTTATTGCCTATGGCTGCTTTATAAGGTAGAGCTAGTAGTTATGAAAGAGATTGCATGGCCTGAAAAGCCAAAAGAACTTACCAGAAAAGGCTCTGCCAATCTCCGATCTAGGGCCGTTCCCATCCCATTCAGGGAGGACCAAGGCTGGGTGGCTCCCCGTCCTTACGTATGAGCAGGCAACGGATGAGAGGACAAGTGGTCGGTGAAAACATGGACAAGTGTATGAACTCATCAGTGCGAGAGTTTTAAGTAAAAATGGTAAAAGTGTACACTTGGGCACATGTTATGAGGTAGGTGGCGTCCGAAGCACTCAGTCTGCGTAACCTCATTTAACACAGAAATCCTAGTCACGAAGTTCCTTTTAGACTGCAGAAAATGCAGTCCCGGGAGGGCAGCTGACGGGTAAAGACTGGCAAAGGTTTCAGAAGACCGTTGGACGCAGGCAAAACTAGTGGGGACATGGACCCAGTACTCAGCACACGTGGGTGGTTTATGGGTGCACCTTCTCTGTAACAGGGCGGTCGGATTAGAAGAGTCCCAGTGTAGAGGGCGCCCGTGAGTCGACTCAGCAAAGTAAGGAGTGCTCACCAGTAGGAGATTGTTTACGTAGTTATGGTGCAAGAATTAAACAGCCTGTCACTGGAAGACAAAATTAGGCTCATAACAACACGGATAATCCCAACTCTGTGAAACCAGAACGCCCTTCTAGGGGAGCTCCCTGGAAGAACGTCACCCATGTGTTTAAACTGATTACCTAAGAGCAGTTGTAATACTTTATGCGAATATCAGCCATACGTGAGAATCCTGCTTCCCCGCATCCTCAGCATTTGGTATTGTCCATCTCTTCCATTTTGGCCATTCTAGTTATAGCTCATTGTGGTGTGATGACTAATGACACTGAACACTTTTCTATGTGCTTTTTGGCCACCTGTCTTCTTTTGTGAATTATTCAAGCCTTTTACCCATTTTTTTGTTGGGTTGTTTGTCTTTTCTATTATTGAGTTGTAGGAGTTGTATATAGATCTTAGATACTAGTCCTTTATCAAATGTATATGTTACAAACATTTTATAAACAAAATTTCAGAAAATTGAATCCAATAAAATGATAATAACATAATAAAAATAATTTTAAAAACATCATTATCAAGTGGGGTTTATCTCAAGACTGCAGAGTTGGGTGTAACAAAAATCAATAAATATGATACACTGGATTAACAAGCTAAAAAGGAAAAAGTATTATCTTAATACATGGAGGAAAAAACCTGACAAAATCCAACATTCATTCCTGATTTAAAAAAAAAATACAACTTTCATCAAACTTGGAGTAGAAGGAAACGTTCTCAACCTGATAAAAGGCATCTGCAAAAAACCACAGGTAATATCACACCCAATGGCAAAAAACCTGAATGCTTTACCCCTAACATGAGAACAAGGCAAGGATGTCTGATTTCACCACTTCTGTTCAATATCATAAGGAAGGTTTTAGCTAAGGCAATTGGCAAAGAAATTGAATTAAAGGAATTTATATTGGAAAGGAAGAAGTAAAATCTGATGGAATCAACCAAAAAAAAAGCTATTAGAACTAACAAGTGAGTTTAGTAAGATTGCAGATTACAACATCAACCTACAAAAATCGATTGGATTTTTATATGCTAGTAATGAACAGCTGGAAATTGAAAATATTAAAAATACCATTCACCACAGCATCAAAAAATATGAAATACTTATGGATAAATATGACAAAAGATGTGAAGAATCTCTACACTAAAAACAAAATATTGCTGAAAGAAATTAAAGAACACCTAAACAAATCGAGAAATATACTTATGTATATGTCAGAGGAGTCAATATTGTTAAGATACCAGTTTTGTCAAATTGATCTATATATTCAATGCACTCCCAATCAAAATCCCAGCAGGACTTTTGTAGACAGGGAATCATGGAACTGCAAGGAACCTAAAATAATAAAGACAACTCTGAACTGAAGAAAGTTGAAGAGTTAGCACTATCTGATTTCAAGAATTATTATAAAGTGCATAATCAAAGCCTCATGGTATTGGTATAGAGATAGACAAATATGTCAACGGAACAGAATATACAGTCCAGAAAGAAGCCCACACATCTGTGGATAGCTGATTTTTCACAAAGGCATACAGGCAGCAAAGTGGGAAATGGATAGCCTTTACAACCAATAGTACTGGAACAAGAGGATAGTTATTTCAAACAAAAACAAAAAAACCAAAACCGTGACCCTTACCTCACACCGGCTACAAAAATTAAGTAAAAAATTGGATCAACAATAAAAAAAACCCCAATTTTTGAAAAACAGGAAAAATATTTTCATGAAAGAAAATATACAAATGACAAAGAAGCACAAGAAAAGATGTTCAACATCAGTAGTAATTAGGATATAAATTCAAACCACAGTGAGGTACCAATACACATCTGCTGGAGTTGCAGAAGTCAAAGAGACTGACCACACCAAACATTGGTGAGGATGTGGAGGAGTTGGAACGCTCATACGTTGCGGGTGGGAATGTAAAATGGTACAACCACTTTGAAAAATAAAATCACAGTTTCTTTTTTTTTTAATCACAGATTAGAACAGTTTCTTTTTTTCTTTTGACAGTTTCTTAAAATACTGAACTTACACCTACCATGTGACCCAGCCATTCTGCTCCTAGACATTTACCCAAAAGGAAATAGATGCCCATACAAAGACTTGTACCCTATGCTAATGTCATATCTGCTTTATTTATAACAGCCCTGAACTGGAAACAACTCAAATGTCCAGCAACGGGTGACTGGGTAAACAAATTGTCATAGATTCATAAAATGGAGTATTACTGAGCAATAAAATGGAATGTCCCATTGATACATGCAACAACATGGATGAATCTCAAAATAATTATGCTGAGTAAAAGAAACCAGATCCCCCCAAATAAAGAGTATGCAATGTATCGTTCCATGTGTGGAGAGATGGGAGGAACTTAAAGGGACCTGAAAAAACTGGGGATGATGGTTAGATTCATTCTCTAGATTGTGGTGATGGTTTTACAGGTTTAAACATATCAAAATTTACAAAATTATACACTTTAAATATGTGCAGTTTATCATGTGTCAGTTATACAGCAATTAAGCTGATTAGAAAGTCTTTTAGGAGAAAATACAGGATCTATTTTTAGGACTGAAATGTAGCTGAGATTTTGAAATGAAGACAAAACACAATGGAAACAAAAGATATTAAAAAAATCCTTCTTTTCTTCAAAAGACACCATAAACAAAGTAAAAGATAAGTTACAACTTAGAAGGGATATATTACTAGTAAAAGATCAATGTTAAATTTATGTGAAGAACTTTTACAAACCAGCAAGAAAAAGACAAACCAAGAGAAAAATACAGGAATGAAATGAGAAATGAGAAGGTAATTCAGAGAAAACACAAATGGCTAAAAACTATGAAAAAATGCTGAGTCTCATTAGTAAGTGCACACATGTCACAATGAAATACCACTTTGTACCATGCATTTGGCAAACATTTTAAAATCTGACACTACCAAGCATTGGTGAGGATGTGGAGCAGGTGGAACTCCTAGATGTTACTAGTGGAACTATAAAAAGACGCAGTCCTTTTGGAAACTGGGTGACATTTCTACCAGTTGTGGACATATTCACACCAGAGAAACCCACAAGGAGAAATTATAAGGAGACCTATACGTGAATGTTCATAGCAAAAACTGGAAGCCCTTTGCTTGCAAAGGTGCAAGCAGATGTCTGAATGGCTGGCTTCCTCCCTGTGTTCACATCTTTGCTTCTCAGTAAGGCCTTCCCTGATCCTCCAGCCTCCCCTGTCGCCTTTCCCTCTTTGGCTTTTAGCAGTTATCCCATCAGATATGTTACATGTTCTACTTAACTTCTTTACTGCTTATTCCCCTCTAGAACGTGAGCTCGATTTTTTTCCCCACTACTTTATTCCCAGTTTTTTGCTTTAATGAGTATTTTTGAATGAATCCAAGTGGCTATAAAAAGTAGAGACGATGTGGCTATCAAAAGTAGAGACGATGTGGGGAGGGTATAGCTCAGGTGGTAGAATGCATGCTTTAGCATGCATGAGGTCCTAGGTTCAATCTCCAGTACTTCCTTGAATAAGTAAACGGGTAAACCCAATTACCTCACTGCACACACACACGAAGGTAGAGAGGATAAACATTGTGGTAAATTCATTCAATGGGAAACTATACAGCAGTGAAAATAAATGAAATACAGCTTCACATACCAAAAAGGATAAATACACGAAGCAAACAATGTAAGTTGCAAATGAAATCTTATGGTATCGATAGCATCTCTATGAATGCAAAACATGCTTTGTATTGCTCTGGAATACAGACGCGTTGTAAAGTTTCAGGAAACACGTGGAGCGAGCCACATCTCATTCCGGATAGTGGCTGCCTCTGGAGGAACCTGCGGTTTCTGTTGGAGAGGGGGTACACAGGGGTTTCAACCTGTGGGTTGATTTTTTTTTCTTTTTCAGCTAAGTGTGTTCACAGGGTTTCAGAGTTTCTTACAAGTTTATTGTTCTACATATTTTTCTTAAAAGCAAAAATGAGCAGACTTCTAACATTAAATTACAGGGATGTGAGAAATTGGAGGCTGAATACTGAGCTGGTGGCAAACAGCCGTGGAAGGCGGGGCTTCTGCGTGGTTATCAACAGTAGACAAGCATCGGGACTTTCACGTGGGGAACTCACTGCCATCGACTGTTGACCTTAGTGACTCCTGGACTCTTGGCTGGAGAAGACGAATTAATTCTAGGATTTGAGAGCGTAAGGTAACTGTGAGCTAGCTGATCTGTGCTAGTTATTTTACTATTGGTGACCCTACAGACCAGTTCATAAAATGCCCTAGGTGTTCCAGTTAACGCCTCCTGGACTCCCTCTCCCTTTACCTTTCATTCTCATCTGACTATGAGGACGTGGAACCAGCTGGAGCCCTTCATGCGGCATGGGGTGACCACACTTTGGGCGTCTCCCAGAGGAAGGGCATGTCCACAGAGAACCTAGGTTCTCCTACTCCTCTGGTCTTTTCCCACTCAGAAAGCTCAGTAACAGCTCAGATTCCGTAACAGGGGCATCCAAGACGGCTGTCCAGCCCCGCCTTTGCCACCTCGTAGCACAGAGCATAAGGTACCATCCAGCAAGCTGGGGTAGCTGAAGTAGGAGAGGGCCTGGGTAGGAGGGAAGCCAATCACTACACACCTGTAAGCGTTCCCAGCCACCCTGGGTGAGCAGCTCCGCACGGAGAGGCCTCCGCTATGCCCCGCCCTTTTCTGGGTATTACAGGCTGGACCCAGCCCATGACGCAGAACCTTGAATACACTGTCTGTTGGCTCTACTTTTAATTAAAATACTAACATGTCCACAATCTGACGGCTGATCACCGCCCCCTTGGCTACTGCGTTGGTTCACGGGTCACCCCGGCCCTTCCCTCCCGGGCTCGGTCTGCTCTCTACGAAGCCGGAGAGCCCAGCTCCGCTCGGCCCACCTCGCTCAGGGCCGCAGCCGTGACGGCTCCCTGCAGTCGGACGCTCTCTGACCACCGTGCTGTTCCCTCAGCTGACAGTCGAAACTAAGGTGAAGTGAACGGGCACGGCGAGCACGGAGCAAGGAGAAGGCGGCGGGGGCGCGGGAAGCCAGGGCCTGGGCAGCGGTGGGAGCGAGGCCTCGGTCCAGGACGCAGTTCGACTCGGTAACAAGCCACGTGGCTTCATACGTGAGGGGAAGCTCAGTCAGGCTCCTCATCCGAAAACGGGGCATCGTAACAGCCACTTCCTTACAATCTCGCAACTGTTAAGCGACGGAGAGCGCTCGGACTCCACCTCGCTCCTCCTGCTCAGCGCGGCGACGCGAGCCGCCATCTTACGGACGGCGGGCTGATGCTCGCGAGCCGCGATCACCCAGGCGCCCCGCGTCGGCCAGCGGCGGCGGGGGATCGCGGTCCGCGGCTGGGACAGAGCCGCCCGCCCTGCCGCGGCTTCCAGCACGGCGACCCGGGTCAACGCGTCGGAGGGCGCCTTGGAGGCGGCGCAGCCCCAGCAACTTACCGTGGAGGCACTTTCGGCCCAGCCGGAAGCGCGCTGCTGGAACTACCACTCCCAGCAGCCCGCGCGGCGCGCCCCGGCCGACGCCGGGGGA